CTGGTATGGCTGCAATAAGGCCTCATTCAGAACGGCTGCACTTTGAGTCAGAAGATCTGCTAGCAATAGGCAGTCTAAAATAGGAGTTAAGAGTTAATCTGTTTATAATTAGCTTTTTTCTCATTCCGAATTGTTTCTGAACTGTTCGTGCTGTGTGCTGCTGGAGCCTCTCTCCCCTCCTCCTCCCTTCCGGAGCTCATAGCTTTCGTCAGCAGCATTCATAGCGTTCTCCACTAGGTTTAAATTAGGGTTTTTGGCAACAACAACAACAAATACAGCTTAAAGTTAATATCAATGTTGGTTGGTTGGGGGTGTTGAGCTGTTGTATGGGGTAAACTGGTGATGAGAAATCTTCCTTCCAGAGGACGGTGGGTAACTGGCTGCCATGGTAACTGGGCTCTGGGCTGAACCCGTACTGATCCTGTGCTTCGCTGTGGACCTACCTAAGTGTCCAGCATATGACCACTCTGTGGGGGTGCATGGGGGTTACTTTAGCATTTGGTGCATATTGCCCTGTGCTTCTCTTGGGAAAATAGGTTCCTATTTCATATAGGTGACCTGTAAAATTTGTTATGGCCTGGCTCAAAAATCATAACAAATAATAAAAAGCAACACATAGAAAATACTTAAAGGCTTTCCTCTTGGCAGGTTCAGCCTCAGCATCTCTCTCCTATGAATATGTCCAAACTATCTCAGTCATTTAGAATATTGATTGGAAGGAAGAAGTGTGGTAAAAGGTACTGATGGTGCATGAGGGTGACATGTACATGTAATGCATGCTTCCTATGAATCATAACTAAAGAAGTAAAACATTTATCCAACCTATCTTTGGATAGGTTGGATAAATTTCTTCAACATAAATATTTCTGCAGGTATCTTTCTATTTACCAAGGTTGCTAGGGGTCAAACCAGTGACGACCGGTTTTCCCACCTTTACTGAAGTCCTGAAATGATAAGGAGAACATAAATTGGTGACATCTGAGATTTAAATGTATTTTTTTTCTGTCCAGTTCCCTGAGATGATAATATGCAAGACATGGGTATCTATAGCAAACATTCTGGAAGTGACCAATCTAAAGTTCTTGTGAGAGATCCTGCTGTTCTAGTTTACTGATCAATCTGTAGTTACAGTCATGAGAACAAGATTCAAAAGATTATCTGCACCAGGAAAACAACGTAATGTAGAATTTCTGATAAGTCAAATAGCCAGAATTATGCAGAGACCTTTGATGACAAAAAGCAAAAGAAAGCAAGAGTTTTCTCTGCAGGCTGCCAAGTGGCGTTTCTCTTAAGAGTGGAGGTGTGTGCATAAATTTCAACATTTGTGCATCAGAGAAATTACAGTATTCAGAGAATATACATTTAAGTTTATAAATTATTGTTGTTTTCTATTATCAGTGCACCCCTAAAAAAGTAAAGCACAAATAAATCACTGAAAACCTAAAATCATAGAGCATTATCACTGAGTGTATAGACTTCTGATCAGAACTGCATGCTCAAGTTTACTAGAAAAAAGTAAATTATTTACGCAAAACTCAGATTAATCTCTGAGTTTTTTTCTGGCAATTTTTTTGATATTTCAAACTCAGAAATCTCCAAGCTTTTTCTAGAAAATTTCTGATAATCTAAAAATTTCTGACTTTTCAAAATTCCTTTTCTGGAATTTCCTTTCGTTTCTTAAATTAATCTCAGTGTTTTTGATCGAAATTTGCTCCTCCTTCTTCTATCTACAACGGGCCTAATACGTCGTCGCAATATTATGCGAAATATATAAATTATTATTTTTTTTTTAAATAGTTCATCACGCGCTCATTTTTTGCTTCCCAAAAAGTCGTTTTAATAGGGATTTGTATAAATAGACACAAGGGGGCAGCAATTTCCTTCCCGGTGCTTTTTCTCTTCTGTCTGATGAGTGTAGAAGAAGAAGACGTTTCTCACGTTCTGTTTATATTCAGTAGCAACTGGCTAGGCTAAGCTAACCGGGTTGATAGCTGTCCGCAGAGATGTTCGGGTGTTTGGTGGCCGGTAGGTTGGTCCAGACTGACGCGGTACAGGTCGCCTCTGATAAATTCGTCTTTAATTTGGCGGATTTTGAGAATGTGAACCACGTGGTAGTGTTCATGCTGGGGACCGTGCCTTTCCCCGCAGGAATGGGAGGAGCCGTATACTTCTCCTTCCCGGACCCGGGCAGCGGCGCTCCTGTGTGGCAGTTGCTCGGCTTCATCACCAACGACAAGCCCAGCGCGATCTTCAAGATCTCTGGCCTGAAGGCTGGGGAGGGCGGGGCGCACCCTTTCGGCTTGATGGCCTCCGTGTCGCCGTCCGTGGCCCAGGTCGGCGTGTCCGTTGAAGCTCTGGACCAGCTGGCTCAGCAGATCCCAGTGTCCAGCGCCGCGGTGTCCACTGTGGACACGTTCATGCAGTTCACCCAGAAAATGCTGGACAGCCTCTACAACTTCGCCTCCTCGTTCGCTCTGTCCCAGGCGCAGATGACGCCGAACCCCACGGAGACCTTCATCCCCTCCAGCTGCATCCTCAAATGGTATGAGAACTTCCAGAGGAGGATGGCGCAGAACCCGAACTTCTGGAAAAACTGAACTAACAAACCAGAACCCGGTGCAACACTAAGCCACAGTGCCTATGTGGGAACAGTCTTCTGCCATCAGACCGGACACGCTTCGTGTCCCACAGTGGACATGTCAGACTCTATGTGACTGTCTCAGTCTGTGGATGGAAGCCAGTGGAAACTCGGAGTGCCTGACTCTGTCTGAACACCTTTCATCCTGTCATCATTAACTTGTTCACATTCACTCCACTGATTGACCAACCCAAGTGATTCCTAAATAAAACCCGATCTGCCCTAAAACTCACTATGTATTCAGTTCATCCTATGAGAGGGAAGTGTGCCCTTACTGACCTCCTCATAGCTAAAGTAATGTTATAGCTGACAGCAATGGGGATTTAAACATTTTTTTACATTTCAACATTTGAAAATTCCAATTTTTAAATTTGAAATTTGCTGAGATGGTAGTTGTCTAGTAGACTGTCACTGTCTAAGCCACAAAATGATATTGCTGAAGAAAACTGGATGTTCAGGGTGCTGTATCCAAGCAGCTTAACAGAAAGCTAAGTGGAAGGATAAAGTGTGGTAGAAGATGCGCACAAGCAACATGGATAACAGCCCATTTAAACATAAAAAAATTAATTCAAATTCACAAGTCTGTGGTCTGTAGCTTTATTCAGAACATAAAGCCCCGGGCAGCCTATGGTGATGTCTGACAGTCCTTTAAGTTTGATGCTTTAATGCAAAGGTGCATTAAAAGTCCATTAAAAGTTCCAACTTTGCATGAAAGTGTCATTATTTACACAATAATGTAAAGTTGGGACTTTTAATGGACTTTGGTCATTATTTACCGAATGACCCTTCATGACAACAGCCATAAATATTGATAAAGACTCATTCATGTTCATTACAGTGTAATGTCAGTCTTTTGCACATGAAGTTTCCATCCATCCATCCATCCATCCATCCATCCATCCATCCATCCATCCATCCATCCATCCATCCATCCATCCATCCATCCATCCATCCATCCATCCACCCTTGTCCCTTAGTGGGGTCAGTAAGAGTCACATGAAGTTTCGATTTTATTGTTATTGGTATTATAGTTACATAATACATACTTCAACACAGTTTCCAGTTTGAAGTGTAATGATGAATAACCCTTTAGTGGGAACACACCCAGACTGGCTGACTTTCAGGATGAGTCATGGAGTTTGGCTCTAAACTAGATGGATTCCTTACTGACAGAGTCTGTTTGTTTTCCCCATTTTGCTCCAAGGGATCACCCTGCAACACAGTGAGAGAGTTTCAAAGCAGTTCAGACTTCACAAACCCTCCAAATCAGTAAAAATAATAAAGTGCATCGATATGTTAGAGTTTGGTCTGTTAAAGAAATACAAAACAGCCTCACGGTGCATCAAGTGACTGAAAAAATAATTAAAATGAGAAATGTAAAAATAGAAACAACTTAATACATAACAAATCACATGAGACCAGATATAACAGCGTATGAGATGGCAGATATGATATCATACCCTGTGAAAACATGCTGGTGCAAATTAATTGGCTGAAAACTAATTTGGTCTCATTTCCAAACTTCACAAAACAAACCTGGTATCTCAACATTCAAAGTAACATACTAACTGTGACATCTTTCTATCATTTTTACTGGTTATTTGTTTTATTTTTTATTTGTATATTTTACTGTTATGTTGTTTGATCAGTTATTGGTTTTCACTATTCTTTCATTTATTTACTTAGCTTAGTTGAGTGTTACTGGCTTAGTGAGTTTGTTGATTAAAATATTTTAACTGGAAGGTTCAATTATTTTGGTTAATAAGCATTTAAATTTTGGAGATATGCTTTGTATTTATTCTATAAGTTTGAGAACACTAATGTTGAAATGAATCTTTGATCTATTGTTATTTAGTATCTAAGCCTTATCAGGCAGGTATTCATAAACAGTAGCCAAGAGTGAAAACTATGTGGATATTACTTTCTGATAATCACGCAGCAACCTGGCTTACTAATATTGTTCTAAATTACTACTTTGTTAAAAATTGCCTTGGCTTTTTGTAAGTTCACAGCCAAAGTAAACCTACCATTCCTACCACTGAATCGTAGGCAAATTCTCTCTGACAGAATGTGGCCAACATTCAGGTTTGTTTGCCACATTTCTCACACAAGCCTTTTGAGCTCCACCCTCAAATTATGCCTGGGACTCTGTTTTGGGTTAGTGATGGCTGGAACAGAACATGAACTCTGTTGTGCTGGGGGAGGAAGGGGGCTGCTCTGTGAGGCAGAAGCTTGGAAGCTGCAGCTCCAGGGAGGAGCTGCTCCTCAAAGGCAGAGCTAGGTCCAACCAGCCTTTTTGCTGGTTGGACCTAGCTGAATGGTTGGCATGGAGATTAAAGGATCCCTCAAACATGCATGAAAGAATCACGGCAACACTCCAGGTATGTTTTGATGAGGGAATAACATTATAATATGATATAAAGCTCAAAAAAGTGGATTTTAAATATTACTGGTCCTTTAAACTTTGATATACTATATAGTAGTAATTGTTGCAAACTAATAGCTTTCATTATTGTAGAACACAATATTTCAAATGAATGTATCAATCTGGGCAGATTAAGTCATAGAAGCAAAATCTGATTTTCTCACGTAACGAAACTATAAAACAACAAGGTTCAATAAAAAGGATAAAACATGAGAATCTGCTCTATAAGCACAAACATTTTGAAGATTTAGTTCTTCATTTCCACTTCCTCGTTCTGACATGTAAATCCACTTTAGTTGTTTGATTTTTTTTTTCTTTTTACTCTTTAGTGAAATTGCAACTTCATTTAAATACAGCATTCAGGACACCAGACTTGGACATCTTTGCTTCGGACTCCACTTCATACTTGCATGCATTTACTTTGACTTGACGCGAGACAAAAAGGGGAAAACATGAAACGGCAGTTTTTCTAGAACTCCAACCAGAAACATCTGAGCTCTCACTCTAGAACAGTTCAGTTACAGATGCCAAGGGTACGGCTGAAAGTGGCTGCTAGCAAAGAGCTCTGGGATCACTTCTGAGAATTCCTGCAGAGGAAAAGATGTGAGTCATGAGAAGTGTTAAGGGTGGGTCGGAATCTTAGAATGCTCTTTGGTTCACATGGCAACGCATTTCCAGACAGAACAAAGTCCAATTCTTCAAACAAAAGTGCACAAAAGAACAAAAGTTTGCACAGCAGCACTGAGCAACACACCCAAGAAAAGAATGACCAGGTTCCAACTTATGTTGTGAGGTTTGTCATTCATTTATCCTAAAATTTGTATTTATTTGTATTTTTTTCCCCCAACAGGTTTTAAAAATCACGAGAACAAGTAATCAGTAGGACACAGAAAAACATGTGCATACATAACCAAGAAGAAAATACTTTGTTTACTACTACTTTTCTGTTTGAAAAGAAGTAGGAAGATGTGAAGACTTATTTAATCCTACTGCTTATCTCAACTTAATGAAATATAAGTTAGTAGCAGGGGCTCTGCCAGGAATCTTGGGTCCCATGACAAAAAATTTAATTGGGCCCCCCCTGCGCAGCTACTGTTACAATTTCTTGAGTCTATCTCCATATTTATTAAACTTGCCACCATGTTATGACGGTTTGCTATGAGACAAATAATCTGTGAAAAAAATCAATCTCCTCTACCTCCTCCCTGAACTACTATTGTTAGCTAAAGTAATGCGCCGTTCTGACCAAAAACAACCAATCAGAACCAGGAGGACGGTCTTGGTGTTGTTAATCATCCTCATTCACTCACTGCTAAATGTGCTAATGGTGGAGAAACAATTTATTGTTATAGGAAAACTTGATCTGCCGTCATTGGTAGCTATGCTAACTAAACTGAGCATTCAGTTTGAATCCACATAGCTCTGTGCTATGCTAGCTACAGCACAGCACAGAGCAAGGGGGAGGGAGGATGAGCAGCCACACAAGATTGTGATTGACAGTTCTAAAACCCACCTCCTGCCTCTGATAAGTTGTTTCTAGATAGCTCTGGAAGAAGGCAGAGGAAATAATGTTTTCACAAATTATCTCTCATGCTACACTGTCACAGCTCAATGACAGTTTTAGCAAATATGTTAAAAAATATATTTTTTAAATAAAAGTTACATACTGCAGCTTTAATTTCACTTAGGAGAAGACGGGTCAGGAGGGACGTAGCAACATATATGTGTAATTTAAATGCAAGCCAAGGTAAAACTGTGTGGACTGACTACAGTCCAGACAGGAGGCTGTTTTTTTATTATCATTTTATAAAGAATGTTTGAATTTCTGTCAGCAACAAATATAGTGGTTTGTTGTGTAATTCTAGAAAGAGCAAAGACACAGAGAAATTCCTATGGATTCCCTGGGACGATGCTAACTAGGTTGTAATTGAACACAGTGTTGCTCAGTTTTTACACTGGGGCAGGGGGAGGAAGAGGGTTTATGCTGGTATGGTGGTTAGAGCTGTTGCTGACTGACTCATCTGTGGTTAAGTGTGGTAAGAGGTACAGGCACAAGTTAAATATATGAATATCTTTGTATTTCTTTTCCTTAATTCATTAAATGCTACATTGGCAAACAGTAGTCTGTAGCTAAGCTATATGCTGAATGGTTGTTAATCTCACACAGTCTACTCACCTCTCTTGGAGAAAAACTGTTACAAATTCACACTCTTGTCTTTTTCTTTCTCTTATCTCTCTATTTTTTGAAAACTTGACTTCATTATTTTTCTAGACAGCATAGTAACTTACACAGTCATTCTTGTCTTGTACTGACTGCTGCTGAAAACGTCACCGTCAAGTGGGCCAAGCAGGAACGAACCATTTCATGCAGATACAGGGGGGAGTTCAGTGTAAATATAGATGTGTGCTTTTTGGTCTGGGAGGGGTAACATTAAATTTTTACTGCTAAAAAGAATTTTTTAAAAACCCACAATAACAGTAATTGACAGGGCGCCGATTTTATTTTAATTTCTGTTTTTTTTTATTTTGTTTGTTTTTTGTGGAAGGCCCCCTATTGTCAATGGCCCTTAGAATTGCCCCCGATACCGCGCCCCTGGTTACTAGTACTAAAATTCATCTGAACCCATTTTCCTTTGATGGACAAAAAAACAAAAACAAACAAACAAAAAAACTTGTATTCTAGAGATGAAGGTGAAGCACAAATCAAACATTTTTTAGGTTTGGGTTAGCTGTAGCATAAACAAATGGCTGTTATGATTTAGTTACAGTAACACGTCTCAGCAGGAAAACAGGGCGTGGCTCTGCACTTAAATTCACTCTCATGTTCTACAGCCTGACAGTGAGCCGTTCTCCAGCAAACAGGTACGTCTCTTTTCCGTTTCTTACACTCATGATTGACTCTTTCTAAAAAGAGCAAGCAGTTCTACTAAAACGTCCCTGCACAGATTTGAACTGACTCAGAGATCGACAATATTAAACTTGTCAATCGTTTCATTGAGATGACCTGAGGCAATTTTACTCTTTACTGTAGAGAAAAAGCACAGAAACAGGAAACACTTTCATTTTGAGTTTCAAGGAAGCTGATACTATGGATTTGAAAGAAGTCTGTGAATAAAACTCCGTGTGTACAGAAATAAGTCAGGTATACACAGTAACCAGTGTACACAGATAGACATGCAAATATACAGGGAAGTGGACTGTAACCACACCCAGATCCACAGATAGAGGCCAGGAAAGGAATTTACTGAGAAAGCCAACCATTAGCTGCTGAATGAACATCTGACAGAAATGTGAGTTTTAGTGCTATGGTATTACTCGAGACACTTATGTACTTAGTACATAAAACAAACATGACTGAAATTGAGTTCGCAGAATGTTTATTGTCATATCTTTTTAGAAGTGAAAACAACAACATTAGTTTGTTGGGAGGGGCTGAAAAGAACCAAAGCAAGACTTCATGCAAACAATAGCTTCCACTTCTGTGGATCTATGTGAGGATATTGGCATTGGCTGATAAATCCAGAAGTTAAAGAGAACAACATTTTAAATGAAATTACAAATGTGAAACTTCAAACTTTAATAATGGATTACTGATCATAGACATATCTTCTACCCACTGTCACCACAAGTCCCAGAAACACTTGGGGTGAAGGATTACATAAGAGAGAAGATGTTATGCAATCTGTGGCTTTCCCTGGCATGACACATGTTAGAGTTTAAGGATATTAATGAACTAAAAAACACATTTTAAACTGATTTGGATTAAACCTGTTCAAATATCCTCACTTTTACATTTTGCATTCATATTCATTTATAAAAAATATTTCCAGATTAATAGTAAATAGAAAAATGTTTGGTTTTTTTCTCACGTGTTGTTTATTTACTGCTTCCAGTTGGACTTCAGTTCACAGAAGAGCACGATGGATGTAAGTCTGATTTACTTATTGGCATGATTAACAGAATTTTTGTGTTTATTGTTTTCTTTCCATGTGAATTTGATTAAAACAGAACAGATCCAACATGGAAGTAAACCCCAACTTTAAAATCATATTTACTTTTCATGTCTGAAATAAAAGAATTATATATATATATATATATATATATATATATATATATATATATATATATATATATATATATATATATACACACACCATGTGACTGTGAAAGAGCCAGGGTGGAGGAGTTAACACACCCAAGTGAAGGATTTAACAGCTCCCCTTACCACTCAAAACAGAATCTGGAAATGATCATACAGTTCGATCAAGCATAAGATTAACTCTGGTCCAAACATTAGCTTCATGGTCAACTGATCATCTACAGCTTGATTAGATTTCTCAAAATTGTTTCCCCATTTCTTGAAGTCTAGTCATGTTGTCCCAACCTTCTTCCATTTTATGTTAATAAATAAAACATTTCAAGCTGACTTCTGAACTAATGCGCCTCATGTGATTTTCCTCAGTAGTATCTTCCAACAGAGCTGTTGCTGGCTCAGTAACAAAGTGGTTCTTATAGCAAACTGTTATTTTTATCTGTCCTTAATAGCATGTTGGCAAAAACGGGCAAAATCCATGTCATGCATATATAAACACCTATTAAAGAGATGTTATTGGTATGTATTGGAACAGATGCAGGAATATCTCAAATCATAACATCTGTCCGTCTGTCTGTCCATCCGTCCACCCATCCGTCCATTTTCTGTCCACCCTTGTCCCTAGTAAGGTCGGGAGGGGTGCTGGTGTCTATCTCCAGCGAACGTTTTGGGCAAGAGGCGGGGTCACCTGGACAGGTTGCCAGTCTGTCGCAAGTCAAATCATAATATTTTAGGCTCATGTACTTTTACATCAGATCTTATTTATAGATGTTCACTCAAGCATACTTGAATGTTTCTCACAACTGCTTGTCAGGCAGTTCCTGGGAACGTAGCCAAGGGACAGGTAATAATGGCTCCACAATAAAAGTGAACTTTTAAATGTAAGAGATGTTTATTCTAAGTTTGAAGTGCAGAACTACGACATTCTTATGAACTGGCCTAACCCCTTAGCCATGTATCTTAGGATAATTATTTATTTCTTTTCACTTTCATGTACTACACTTACAGATCAATATGTAATTAGCAGGGTCCAATGAGTGCAGGAGACCCAGTTTTAGTGCTTTGTGAAAAAAATACATATCATTATCCTGGGTTGTTTGGATTTTTATCATTTCCTAGTCAGTTAAGATTTCTGTTCTTTCACTGTAACTGTCTGCCTTTGTGTCTTTTGCAAACCACAACATGACAATATAACTACACTGAACATACAACTGTAATGGTTCAGTTCTGTTTATTTATATAGCACCAGTTCACAACAAATACTGTTATTTATGAAATCCTAGGATGCTGGATCACATTACTATTCAATTCGAACTTTATCTGACAGCTCATCTGTTGACAATAAAGCATCTTGGAATCACCAACAATCAACCTGTTGAAATATTGAAATAATGTGTGATGACCTTGAGTTTAGAGGTGTCTTTACTTTCTCTCTCTTTACAGCTTTCAGATGCTCTTGGTGACTGGCCCTCTGGCGGCAACAACCAATCAGGAGGTCCTTGGCCTGCCAACCCCAACTGGCCAGGTAGAAGCATTTAACTATTCTTTTGTTGTTTAATGTAGGCGTACATATCTTGCACCTTCTCCTCTATATTCAATGAACTTCACCCACTGTACAGAGTGACTGCTGGCTGTAACACTATGTCAACACTTGAATTGTCTTTTGGCTAATCTAGACATACCAGTTCCTTGAAGAGAAATAGTTTACAGACCTGTCTCTGGTTTCCGCTTGTACCAAATTTTTGGTACAATCTTGGCCAATCCCTCCAAATGCTGAATGGTTTTAATTAGCGAGTGTTGATATGTACAGTAAATAATATGAATAATCACTACAAGAAAGTCCTAAAAATGTTGGGAAAGCCAATGTTTTCAGGAGATTTTAAAGATGTGGAGCCCTTAATACTCACTAAAATAGTGTTTGGGTAATTTAAATCCCCTATGTTCACTCTTCTCAAGGCCCACTAAACATCAACACTCTTCATACTGGTTGCCTCTCATCCAGTTAAGAAGTAACTTTCTTTGCCATAGTGTTGCTGATTCCTTCCAAAATATTGAAGATTTGATCCAGATTGCTGCTGCCTTTATCTGCTTTTACTCTATGATCATGGAATCTGGAGGGATTGGAACATATAAGCTGGCCACACAGGCTTTCTGACTAGCCTCCATTTGAAGGCAGTCTTTGACCTCTTCGCCAGTCATGACATCACCAGATATTCTCTCTCTCGGATGGGAGCTCTGTTGGTAGATGATGGATGCCAGACTGACACCTTTCAGGTTCAAAAGCAATATTTTGAACCCAACGATAAGCGCTTTAACAAAAATACACCATCTATCTCCTGCCCTCTACTTCTGCTAGACAAAGCCATCTGTTAGTCTCTACAAGGTCCCAGAATGCCACTGGAGTCCGCCATTAAATTCCTGCAAGTCTGTGGTAGAAAACTCACAGATGCCACTGGTGCTTCACCAATGAGGAGAGGGAGCTTCAGGGTCTATTATGGATTAGTTTCTCACCTACTTCAGTCTTCATTTCTGACAATATCTTGTTTTTTCACAACAAAAGATTATTTGAAATATATTTTCAATATGGTGTCTGAGGTCCATAGTCAAAACATAAAAATCCAAGAATGTGTATTCATATTAAGAACGACACAGATTTTTCTTTCGTAATTTTCTTGAGATGCATTTTGCCGACAAATATAGCTTTATATAAAAAAGGTGAATGGATCATTAAAAATGAATAATGGCATTTTGACTCAGGTCAGCCAGCAACCAACCCCACCTGGCCTGGTGGGCAACCTGCCCCCAACCCCACCTGGCCTGGTGGGCAGCCTGCCCCCAACCCCACCTGGCCTGGTGGGCAACCTGCCCCCAACCCCACCTGGCCTGGTGGGCAACCTGCCCCCAACCCGATGTGGCCTGGTGGTCAACCTGCCTCCAACCCCGCCTGGCCTGGAGGCCAATCCGGAGGCAATAATATGTGGCCAGGAGGGAACCCAAGTCAACCCACTGCACCCGGTGGATTCCCAAGTGGTCCTGGTTCAAATGGACCTGGACCAGCTATACCAGCCGCACCCTACAAGAATCTTGTAAGAAAACCAAAGAAAATGAGAAATGCATCAAGAAATATGGACAGAAAGGGAGATGTGTTAATTACTTTACTTTTTGACAGGCTGTTCCCTATGAAGAGAGACTGCCAATGGGAATATATGATAAACTACTGATCACCATCAGGGGAACCGTAAAACCCAATGCTGAGAAGTCAGTAGCAACACTGAGGGTTTAATCAAACATATTTCTCTACTGACTGTCATATTTGTGTGAAATATAGGATGCTAAACCACAAAAGAAATCACTCTGCTTTTGTGTCCTTGTTGTCAATCAGGTTCGCGGTGAACTTGTCTGCAGGCAATGATATTGCCTTTCACTTTAATCCTCGCTTCAATGAAGCCGGAAGAAAGGCTCTTGTCAGGAACTCACTCATCGGCGAGAAGTGGGGGAAAGAGGAGAGGAATGTGAATCAGTTTCCCTTTGTCCTGGGTCAGCCGTTTGAGGTCAGACATTTTCTACCGTCTTGGGGGATAAAGGTGTCTGTGAATCTGCTGCATTTTCAGAGTCTAGTTCACTAACATGTTGTTAATGTTATTTTTTTTGCAGATGAAGATATTGTGCACCAACACAGAGTTCAAGGTGGCTGTTAACAATTCCCACGTTCTTGAATACAAACATCGGCTAACCAACCTGAGATCCATCAACAAACTTGGCATCCTCTTTGATCTCACCCTTTCAGATGTTTGTGTTGAGAACATCTGAGAAGTCTTTGACATTACTGGAGATGTACTATTAAAACAAACAAGCAAAACACCTTTGGAGGTCAACTGCAAATCTATTTGAGATATACTGTGGCTCTGTTGGAAATCTAAAAAGAATCTTAAAAGAATAACATTTCCCTTATCCTACAGAGAACAGTCACAAATTCATGAAAACCAATTTTAGAACAGCTAAGAATCTTTCATGGGTCTAAGATCTACCAGATCTTTTTAAAACACAGCAAAGGTTGTCTTTGGTGGACCTCCAGATTATCAGCTGATCTACAGCTGAAGATGACTGTTATTTCTACAGAACATTTTTAAAAAGTCTAATAATAATCCCAAGAGATTTGACCCATAGACAATCATCGCCAGGTATTCAGTGGTAATCACAGCAGATTATTCTGCTCTGTCTTTTTTCTAGATAATTTATAAAAGTTCAATCTATTGTCGATCAACAAACATTGACAAGGTTTTAGTTTTAAAAGTAAGTTGACTCATACTGAATAAAATAAATGGCTGTGTTGCTCAGTGTCTGACAGAAGTCCCGTTTTGACTCAGTGTCACATATGTGTAGTTTCACATTTCTGTTATGAATGGTACATATTTTGAATGGCGCAAATGTGTTTTTCTCAATAAAATGTAATGGTTTACCTGATTCAATGTTTACTTTATACTTTCTAGGTGAGAAATATAAGTTTTAATTTCACACCAAGAGATTGAAAAGAAAATATTTTTTATAAGGGTTGTAGGTCAAGTTGTTTTGAAAAAGTGTCGTATGGCAGTGCAACAGATTCCTTTGTAAAATCGCCAGTATTTTGCAAATAGCACAGAGTGTCTTGAGTCAGAGGCTCCTTCAGAACTGCTGTAATACAAACAGCTACAGTATATCCTTTATGCCAAGAGCCATTCTATAACAACTAGATGGTATAATAATGTTTAATTTCTCTTTGGAATTAGTAAAGTATTTTTGAACTGAATTGAATTATCTAAGGTGAGGTTGTGGAAGTAGTAAGTTCAGGATTGACATGAAAAAATCACTCGACCCATGAACAATATTCAACTGTAGAAGTATATACCAGTGTTGACTTACTACAAAGAACCTCTAGTTAAGATTTTGGATCCAGATTATTGTACAAACTTTTTAAAAAATAAAAATTAAGATCATGTGGAAGAAGAAGAGAATTAAGACAAAAAAGGAGGCTAAATTAGAATTTAGTTGTGAAGTTATTTTTGATTGCATTTATAATTGCTCCTAAATGAAATGACATAAAGCCATCAGGTTTCAGAGAAGCCTGATGGTTCTCTGAAATGCACCAAAGTCTGCTAGATTTTGATGCATTTTAAGAGGGTTAGGGTCAGGCTTTTATCCAATAGTATCTTTTTACACCACAAAATGGTTGTAACTGAGTGTCAAAGATAACAGACCAATATTTCATTTATTTGTTTTTTACCTTACACTTCCCTTTTAAGTTGTGACGTAAACACGTAGAGCTGCGAGTGTACGTATTTTGGTCGTTTACAATAGAGCTGCTATAAAACCACGAAGGGCGAGCTTTTTAGTGGCCAAGCTGTTTTGGAAAGTAAAAGACTAAAACAAGCAGCTAAATTAACTGACCGCAGCTTCGGGTCGGTACAAAAACAGAAACAAACTGGAAAACAGTGGAGTTTAGCTGCTGTTCCAGCTACTAGCCTAGTTTTTTGTTTTTATTTCCTGTAGTAAAGACGGAGATTCTGCCTTCTTCAGGTAAGTGTGCCTTTTCAACTTTAAATCGTTTGAATTTATGTGGAAACATACTACATTTCAACGAGCTCCTGTATTTTTAAATGCTCTGTTTGCCTGCTTCGCTGCTCTGCGCTAGCTAGCATTACAGCTAATCAATTTTCTGCGGTTGCAATGGTTTCAACTAGTCGCAGCTAACTAACTTGACCAGTTCAAACAGTTGTTTGCTAACCGTGCCTCCGACACTTCGTTGGCTGTGTATGGATCAGCTGTGGAATGGAGCCGTTAACATTCTGAACCCAAAGGAAAGTGGCATAAGCGGGGTGGAGGTGATGAACAGGCCCAGCACGGTCTCGGTTTTCTTCGTACTGCAGACACAGCAGTTGTTTATCAGACTCTGTTCAGTGCTGTCTCCACAATCACCGACTTCTTAGCAGTGTTCGTACACAGGGCTTTGTTTTTAGAAACGGGAAAATAAAAATGGTGTATGGACGACGACACCCTCCCCCCCCATTAAACTACGGCTACTTCCAGGTTCCTTTCCCTTTACTACTCTATGTAAAGTAGCCAGCTGTTTAGCTTCGGCTAAACAGCTGGCTATGAAGATGCAGTCAGAAAAGCAAGTTGCGTGATAAGGAAGTAAAGATTTGGCAATTTCTATCAGTTTCTGTAATAAATATATTAATAGAATAAAGTGCACCACAGTATTTTATAGAATAACTGAGGAAGTTTACTATTTTCATACCTACACACAAAGTTCAAGCAGAAATTTATTTACATTGATTTTCTGTTTTATTTAAAGCAAAAAAGCAATAATTCCTGCTGCTGCCAAAATCGTCAATGATATTGATTATTATATTAATATCAATACTGCTGTTTAACAGCAGTATTGCTGCTGTTAAACATTTATTTATCGCTATTTTGATTTTCAGATATAGATGTCAGCAAAAAATATTCACTAAATATATAAATTATGTCATGGTGCAGAATATTATGTTCTATGTAACGCAGAGCTCTCTGTTGGGCTCAGAAATGGTTAGTCACATACAGAGTTGATTAGCAGTCTAATTGCAGCATTGTTTAATTAAAGAAACTTGTATGGTGTCATGTGGTCCTGAATGTGATTTGTTACAAATTTAGGAATAAATCCTGCAGATTAAACCAACCAGTGGACTACAGCTGGGTGAATGCAGAAAGTAGCTCCTCATCTCACAGCCACAACCAAGCCTGTTCCCTTCTAAATGTCTTCTGATGTTCATCTTTGTTATTACCTGCTCTCACCCAGCAGAAGGTCTCTCACAATCTACACATGTCACTGGTCCATTCTCTAATGAAATTAAGTTACTTGTATCAAACTGTTTAAAACCCAGATTGAGTAAATTTTTTTTGTTTTTTTGTTTTTATGGATCGCTTTAAAGTTTCTTTAAAGCATTGAACTATTGATAGCAATCATGTAAATCAATATATTGGAGATGTTGCCTAAACCTGAGAATCTGAAATGTGAAGATGGATATGTGTAGGTGTGGCTGTTTTTTGGTTGATGTAAGGATTATAACCCATTGTTCTCTGTTGTTAGGTTAGATCTAGACAGCGTGGAGTAAGGCTTTCTGATTTCAAATGTGTGCATCCCATATAGATACTACCACTATGTTGCTAAACTTGGTTTTATGAGCTATTTTTTTTTAAAGAAAATGAGGACACTTGCATAATTATCCTTAGTGTACATCAAAAAACACAAAGTATTAAATTTAGTTGCATTTTGGAAAAATAATGGTACAAGAAAGGCTTTTTTTTTTTTTTTGTCTGCAACGATTTACTATTGATCAAATTTAGGAATTAATTAACCGTTAACTGGAGTGTTCAGACTCAAAAAAAAAGGAACACATTCAGAGAATTAATGAAGCCAAAATTGGGCAAAAATATATACATTTTGCATGTAAGATCTATAAATGTATCATCCCCAGAAATCTTCAAGTGGCATAGTTTTACATTTAATTCTCTAAAGGGAAAAAAAAAACCTTTATTAAGCACCTGTTGCTATTCAGATATTAATCCAATAAATAATC